GCCATGTTGGCCCTGGGCACCCGCGGACCTCGGTTCCGGCTGAGAGGCGTTAAGTGCGCTCGGGGTCAGTGTAGGAACTTCTGTAGAGAATAGTTTACTACATTTATTAGTAGTTGCATACGTAGTCTCAATACAGTAATTACCCTATTTTTTAAGAAATATTTTGGTCCTCCTAAAAACAAGCAAACCCAAAACCAAACAGTCCCAGGGAAACGGTATTAATGTTTATCTGTCTAGAAATACTTCCTGAGAGGTTAAAATTGAACTGCAAACGACCTGATACGGGGTTAGGACTGCTGCAGAAAGCGCTTTGGCAGCGAGCATTAGCGGTCTTCAGCCTATGTTTTAGTTCACCAAGTCCACTAAAAGTGGCACTGTCTGTTTTAGAAGGATTTTTGTGTAGTACATCCATAGGTGGGGGCATGCTTGAAATAAAAGAGGAGGATTGGAGACAATTTTTCTCAGTCCCGGTTTGGAGCAAGCACAGTTCTGTGGGTCACAGTGGCAATAAACAGCTTGTCCATCATGTTGCATTTTGGGTATTCATTATGTGATGTCTTGTAGTTCAGATTTTCTAAGCAGCTATCCAGGAACAATCATTGCATCATATCTGTCTCAAAAGAAGTCATACGGAGTTACTTACTTTTTGAGTAAATTTTTAAATATTCCAACAAAATGTCTTAAAAGCTGAATTTCCCTTAAGAGTTTAAGTTACATTTATTTTCTCTGTCACAAAATGTTTCATGTCTTACGTAGTTTCTGCCTTTCATGCTTATATTGCAACGTTTCTGTCTGGATTGTGATGGCTTACACATTTCCGTATACATGGATAAACCTAATATTCTATCTGGCAGATTTCTAATTCTAGTATTTTAGAAGGTAAAGAAATGCAACAAACATAATACGACCAAATGAAAATTCGAAACAACCATTAAGTCTTAAAAAGAGGGGAGAGGTAAGCATTTGAGAATGTGTAAGTGATGCAAGGTACATTAAACCAGTCTTAAAATTTTGGGTTACAGTGTACACCTGATGATTATTACATAGAATCACAGAATGGTTTGGGTTGGAAGGGGCCTTAAAGATCATCCAGTTCCAACCCCCCTGCCATGTGCAGGGACACCTTCCACTAGACCAGGTTTCTCAAAGCCCTGTCCAATCTGGCCTTGAACACTGTCAGGGATGAGGCAGCCACAGCTTCTCTGGACAACCTGTGCCAGTGTCTCACCACCCTCACACTAAAGAATTTCTTACCTATACCTGAGTGACTCCAGGTGGAATCCCTTGAACTGCTGCCCACAATTCTTTTTATGCAGCCCAAGATATGATTGGTTTTCTGGACTGCAAGCACAGGTTGACAGCCTTTATCTAAGTCCCCAAAGTTCTCAGCAGAGCTACTCTCAATCCATTCATGCCCCAGTCTGTACTAACACTGTTGATTGCCCCAACCCAGGTGTGGGACCTTGCACTTGGCCTTGTTGAACTTCATGAGGTTCACATAAGCACATTCCTCAAGTCTGTCAAGGTCCTTCTGGATGGCATCCCTTCCCTCCAGTGTGTCGACATCATCATATAGCTTGGTATTATCTGTAGGCCTGCTGAGGGTGCACTCAATTCCACTGTCTGGCATTAATAAGGATGCCAAACATGATCCTGTGCTTTCTAAAGCATTCTGTAGTTTTCCTGAGTCGTATTAGATACAGCTGGGAGCAGCTGCTGCAGCACAGTGTGTTACATGTCAATCTTTCTTCCTATTGTCTGTCAAGACAACACTTACAGCTACAATGTGTGAAGCATATGTTAGGGACAATTAGTCACTGCTATATGATTTTTAAAAAGTATGTCCAGCAACTGTGTGTCCTGAGAAAACACATGGTCATAGTCTGTTCCTACAGTTGGCCTTTAGAATACTGTGAAAAATAGTCATTTGAGTAATCCCTTATACCATACCTGCAGTTCTTGAAGATATATTTGTGTGTGAATGAATGAAGATCTTGGGTCTCCAAATTCTGTTCATTTCAGTTGCTATCCCTTTTATGGACAGTACGTAAACACTCTTGAAGTAGTGTTTGTCCAATAGGATTCCACTAGACTAAAGTAGTGTAGTAACATATATTACTTTTCAGTAATAATTTTATTGTCTTAAAATCTATTGTATTCACTCATGACTGTACTCACTCATCACGATTTCTGTTTCTTTACAAGCTGGCCATGGAATTCCCATCAGAAGACATTTTTTTAATGACAGCTTCTCCAGTTCTAAAAGCTGTAACAAATTTCAGACAGGTAAGAAAGACTTAATTGTTCTGATGGTAAGACCTCTTCAGAAGTTTGTGTATGTACAGGTAATTTAGAACCTAGTCCTGAAAATGGTTACAAATTTGAACTTGTTTTCACATTAGTGTAATTTCACTGGTGTTAGTAGGACTGATGAGATATGTTACAGTGATTCCTCATTGTTAGTAATTGTGGATATATTCACACCATTTGAGCAAAGGATACTTATGTAGTTGAAGTATTTTCAAAGTTACTGGAGCTTTATTTCACTGATTTGTTAATGGGTGCTTCATTTCAAGCACTGAAATGGTATCTTTGGAATAAATTACTGAAGAAACTTAATCTCTCTAGTGATTCTCATACACAATAGTGTGAATTTTGGGCAGAAACAGGCCTTGACAAGTAACAAGAAAAGGTACAGCTCTCTGTGAAATTGCCTTCAGCTTTATCTACATTTCCAGCATTTGGTGATTCAGTGACTTCTTTCCTGCTGGTTTGAAGAAAATAAAATCCACACATGAGTTCAGATTTCTATCTATAGGTTCATTAAGCTGGTTTCTCGGAGGTACTCAGATCTTAGAAAGCACTGCTCTTTTTCCCACTCTGAGGGAACACTGGACTCTACGTTGGGGCATGGAAAGAGTTGGAGACCGGATTGCACAGAACTTGGGATGCAGAGCTGCCAGCCAGTAAGAAGTTAGGTTCACCTCTCAGGGAAAGTCAGGACACAGCTGGGCTTCCACCTGGCGCTTATTGGCATGACTCTCTTTTATAGAATCATAGAATGGTTTGGGTTGGAAAGGACCTTAAGATCATCTAGTTCTAACCCCCCTGCCATGGGCAGGGACATCTCACACTCGACCGTGTTGCCCAAGGCTCTGTCCAGCCTGGCCTTGAACACTGCCAGGGATGGAGCATTTACCACTTCCTTGGGCAACCTGTTCCAGTGCCTCACCACCCTCACAGTAAAGAACTACTTCCTTATATTTAACCTGAACTTCCCCTGTTTTAAATTTAAACCCATAAAAACCCCAATTTTTTGAAACATGGTATCTAACAGGTGAGGCATATCTCACTACAAGTAAAGAAAGATCACTCTGCAGTTTTTCTGACAGCGTGGTTTTAACGTAATTCTTCCTGGTGTATGAATGCCTAATTCAAATCACTACAGATCACTACAAGGGAAAATAAAGCAAAAATAATTACAAAAATATAATTCGCATTGGCACAAGTTTCAGCATCTGAAGAGTAAGGGAGTAGCTAAACACTGTTTGAAGGCAACAGAATCTTAAGTTTTGGACATAAGCATCTTAATTTCTCTCTGAATTACAAGCATGGTGTGGTTTCTGGTTCCTAGCTGTGAGTATCTTTGAATATTATATAAAGTAGAAGGCCTGGAGGCCCCATTCTGGAAGAAACCCAGTAAATCAACATAACTTAGAATGTTTCCCAAGTTCTGGTTTGCCACCCCCCACCTCCACCCCAGTCTCTGAAATAACAGATAGTGACTATGGACGTGATGCTGAGTAAATGTTTTGAAGTGATCTTGAATTTGTTTTGCCTGAACGTTTGCCATACGTCCTGCATACAAGCTGAAGAATAGTAAGCCCTTTTCCTGATACAAGAGCCAACTACCTGCAGCAAGAGTTTTTTGAAGGCAATGTCACCAGATTATATTTTTTTTAAAAGAGAATAAAAATATTTATTCCAGACACAAGTGTTTCCATAATTCTTTAAGCTATTTTGACCAATTTTTTTTTTCCAAAATGCTGAGGAGAGGAAGATGTTTGCATGGGGGAGCATCATGGAGTTATTTTATCAATGACAAAACAAACAGAAAAACAGGGTAAGTTAAAAAGCAGTGTTAACAACTCTGATAATACTGTCTGTTTATGGAATAAAACACTATAGCAGTCAGAGCAGCCATCAAGGTTCTCCATTTTTGCTTAACATACAGTTTTGGAATGAAAATTGCCTACTACTTTGCCTCTTTACCAGGAACAGGGATGAAAAGATTCTATATATAAAAAGGAGCCTTTAGTAGTAACATGATAACATGTTTTGAGACAATATGGGCTTTATGTTGTGATTTCTTTACTGGAAGTGAACATAAAATACTTTCTTACAAGCTTGAGAAAAAAGAGGTAGATAAATAATTCACATTTTTAAATACCTCTCTTCTTTCTACAGGTCTCCAAAACGCTTGAGGAATTTGATGTAGAAGAGCAGCCAAGTTCCCTATTAGAAAAGCGATATCCCAATATAAAAGTTATACAGTCTGGAGTAAAACAATTGAGAAGCGATGAACATGTAAGCTAGTGTTTTCTCTTTTATGTGGCTTTTCAAATTATTTATTAAAAAAGTAACTTAAGAAATGGTTAAAAAAATGAAGTGTGAAATTCTGTACAAGAACACCGCTCATTAAAGTTTTAAGTTACCAAAATTACAAGAAAATACTTCCTAACTTTAATTTATTACTCACACTGTTGTTCAAGTAGAAATATATACAGGGGACAAAATTGTAGATCAGAAATTACTTGTTAATTAAGAAACTGTATGTTTTAGATTGAAATCTTTGACACCTTAGAGATAGGTCACTGAAAACCTGATTGGAATCACAGAGAACCCAGTCAATGAAACCAGTACTGTGTATGAATCCAGGTGTCTGAACAGTTCTGTAACCCTTGATTGGAGATCTCGCTGATTCCTGAATTACTGCTTGTTTCTACAGGGAGCCAATATCAACACTCCGTGAGACAAACAAAAAAAAATCCTGAAAGAAGCAATGTTTCCACCTTTTCTTCTTTTTTTTCTTTTTTCTTTTTTTTTTTTTTTTTTTTAGCAGGAAATGTGTTGCAAGTATGAGCAGGTCCAGATCCTTGATAGTGTCTGTGTCAGCTTGACATGTTACTTTTCACTTCAGCATTTGTTTATCAGAGTTCACATTCAGATCCAAACCTCGTTGTGCTCATTTTCAGTCACAGAGATAGGATCCCAATTAAATTCTATAAATACTCTGAATCTAATGATATTCTTAGATCATTACTATAATTTGGAGGTTCTTTCATCCAAAACCTTTAAAAGCACTCACTATGCAAAACCTCTGTAAACTGTTCAGCTTCTAGTTTGGAAAACAACAAAGTCGTAAAATGTTCAAATGTAAGTACTGCTTATTGCAGAATGATCTAGCTGGTTTAGTGCCTACCCTTTTTCTTTAGCAAAGGACAGAATTTGCCACCTTTTTAAACTGTATTCTAGCTTCTGCCTGGTTAAGTTAACACAGGTCTACCATTGTTGAAATGCGTTGAATGAGATTCTTAATTGCTACTATGTACTGGTGCATAGACCTACCTGTGTGCTGGTGTGGGGAGGACATTCGTCACATGGAAAAGCTGTTCCATAGCACAGCTAGTGAGTACAGAGTGACACCAAGTGGTAATCTTTCTGTTTCACCTTTCTTTGAGTGTACTGGGTACACTTCCGGTTTCACCAGTCATATGAGGTCTTATACTTAGGCTTGTAAGGGTGTGGTGAGTGTAATGCAAATAAATGACACACAATCAATGAGAGTGTAAAGGCCTGCTCTTTAAGAAGCCAGTTACAGAATTTAATGTCTGCAAAATACTGTGACATGAAGGAGAAAAAATGCTGATGTTCTCTTAGATGTCTCCAGCTGTTTTTTATTTTTTCTTCATTTTTAACAGAAAATTTTCACTGAAGATGGGAAAGAATACATGTATGAAAAACTTTGCCTGTGTGCTGGAGCAAAACCAAAATTAATTTTTGAAGGAAACCCATATGTATTAGGAATCCGGGATACTGACAGTGCACAGGTAAATGTGTTTTAGAGTTATAAGTGTAAAATATGTTCCTGATTCTGATGGAAAATACTAAAGATTATTGTGGAGTGAAATGGTGAAACATAAGGTGGTGTTTGTATCCTTAAATAAGAAGACTTTCAGTAGCAGATAATTTATTTAATGGTAATTTGAGGCTATTTAATTAGTCACTAGTTTATAGATACCTCATAGACAGTATTTCTAACATGATAATCTAGAATTAATGATAATCTTTTTCCCTCCAGATAGAAGCCAATCTGAAAACATGAACAGGAAGTAGACACTAGTAGAAACTTCTGTGAGGAGGTGTAGCTGGTACACAATATGAAGGGCTACTTCTTACAGTGAAAAGTTAGTGAATGTCTTTTTTTGTCTTCCTAGTTCTCCTGTAGCTTGTCCTCATTGTACATAAAAGAATTACAGTTACAGTAAAAGATGTGGGAAAGTTTTCACGTGAGGAATGACTTAATAGACTAAAACTTCAGTTTGGAAGTAGAAAGGGAGGTTTCACTGCTGTAGGTCTTCACAATTAGAGGAGGCAAGGTGAACACTACTTCTTCACAACATAAGAACTGTAATTCATCAAATAAAGTTTGACACTGAGAATAAAAAAGGAGTTACTTTTTCAAGCAAACTGCTGTGAAACTGTGAAATTGTTGTTGATTGGTTTAGATATTACACTAGCTGAGTTTAAAAAAAGAAAAAAAAGAGAAATAGAAGAAAAAAAAAACCCAAAACACAAAAAAGACAGTCCTCAATGCATTTATCTTGTCTAAATTGAAGAGAAAGACTCCACTTGAGTGGCACCAGTGGTGTTTGGAACCTGTGAGGATGTTGCAGGGTAGTATCGTCGTGTGCTTGCTGTCTTCTGATGGTCTTCCATGTGTATCCTGTCAGCCACTGGGAAACAGCAGACTGGGCTGTCACATCAAAGCTGATGTTGAACTTTGAATGAGGCTGAAAATGCTTGTTTCTTGGGTTGGATTTGTTGGGGTTTGGTTTTGTTTTGTGGTTGAGTTTTGTTGTTGTTATTGTTTACATGGTGATTGGTTGCGTTCACTAGTTCCTTCTGATACAACTTGAGCATCCTTCTCTGAAGGGATTAAAGAACTTCAGTTTTCCTGGTTCTTTACAGTTCAGGTTCTCTGACACAATTAGTCAGGTAAACTGGAAGTATGGATGAACAGATTTTCCTGTAATTGCAGTAGTTGGTCTGAGCCACGTCAAGTATTTTCTTTCAAACAAATCAAGAATCATGATTGTGATGTAAAAAAACACTGTCTGGGCTGTATTGTATTTTATTTTTTTCAATTTCTCTCACCGTTAAGATGGGATTTGGAGACTCGTTTCTTTCTGAAAGCTTTTTGCACAAATACAGTTGGTTCTCAGATTCACTACAAACCATTTTTTAAATTCCCAGTTTCTGATCAGGAATTTTTAAACTCCTGAATTTCTGTATCTTCGCCTTTTTTAATGTTATGCAAATTACTGTGAAAGTTATGCAAGTTGTGATAAAACTGGGTTAATAGATATCACAATGCTAATGTTCTCTAGGACAGAGAAAAGTCTCCTGGATTCTATTAAGGTCTCTAAGTGGCTTAAATGTAATTATTTAACTTCTCCTGTCTCAAATTGAGACTTGTAACGCTGTACCAGTAATTTCATCCCTTAATGTTAGAACATCACAGGCTTTGTGAGTGTCTCTGTACAGATTTTGGTGTAAGTAAATGTGTATCATTAGTCTGAGAAGATCAAAATAAGACTAGCAGAGCAAGAAAATACTGAAAAGGATATAATTGATCAGTGTGAGGGAACATTTAACCTAAGTTGTAATTGACTTTTTTTTTTTCTTAATGCAGGCTTTCCAGAAGAATTTGGCTCAAGCTGAGAGAATAGTAGTGGTAGGAAATGGTGGGATTGCACTTGAATTAGTGTAAGTAAATGACTAAGTTTAAAAGATAGATATGCAAATAAAATCTTTCTAGTGTGCATGAGTTGGGAGAAGGTTGGCTTATAAAATCGTAGCTCTTAAAGAATTTAGTAGCAAAATTGATTAATTTTTTTTTTTGCAGCATAGTAGTGCTTACTGACACATAAAATTCAGCAAGCTTCAGAAGAAGCTTTGACACGTGGATATCAAGAATATACAGTGCCTGAGTTGGCATCAACAGAAAATTCTGTTAAGGCAATATTTAAGTCATAAAACTTGTCTGACTTCTGGAAACAGAAGGTGTAATGGGAATAAAGAGGCAGCTTATCTTGCACCAAGCCTGACCTAAGCTGATAGAGCTTTGAAGTGTCTGATGTGGCCTTTGTCACAGGTGAGCTACTGAACCATGTGGTCCTGCAGTCTGCTACATTATAGCGCCACCTATATTATGCAGATGTATGGACTTGTTTTGTGTTGCAGGGAATCATTTTTTCACTTTGACTAGATTGTTCTCTGCATGTCTCTACCAGTTCATGTTCCAGGTAGTACAAACAAGATCCAAATGCCTTTTCTTAGCAGTGGGCAGTCTGGCAAAAATGCAAATTCTTTAAATTGTGGGGAGCAGGAAATACTAAGTAGTAATATTATAAATACGATCTGTCTTCCCTCACCCTCCACCCTGATGCAGCTGAGGTTGTGCTGGTGAGAAAGTTTGACCTGTCAGCTTGAAGAGATTTTAATTTCTTTTTTTTTTTTTATTGGGTTCCTTATGAAAATACTTAGAAGCAGTAGTGGATTTGATAGGTTTAAAAATCTTGGATCCCTTATTTCTAGGTTCTGGAATGAAACCTGGCACACTTGTAGTTGCACTGATGAGAGTTAGGTCCTTTTCAGGTAGTCTGTGGCTTTATCCATTGTTTAAATGTCCACAGGTATGAAATTCAAGGCTGTGAAGTGATCTGGGCTATCAAAGACAAAGCCATTGGGAATACTTTTTTCGATGCAGGAGCAGCCGAATTTCTCATTCCAAAGCTGTCTGCTGAAAAACGAGAGGCTCCAATTCAATGTAAAAGAACCAAGTACACAATGGAAGGTATGGTGTTTCGGTGTCCTAACAACACTGCAGCAGCAGTTTTTAATATTAACGTAGTCTTAAGATGAGTTAATTTAGCAGGCCATAAATAAGAATTACTTTTATCATGAGTAGGACTCCCTTCCTTAAAAAAAATAAAAGTAAAAAAGGGATCTAACCCCCTATCCAAAGTATATGTAGAGACATGGCAGCATGTAAAAGTGTGCTTATCTTTTATATCGGTGCCAAGTTTACATTTAATTTCCTGTATTCCACCTGCTGAAGAACTTGTTCTATTTTCTGTAATACTTGAATGTTTTTCTGATTTATGACAGCATTATATAGGAAGGAGCTCTCCCCTAATAAGCTGTTGGAGGACCAGATGAAACCACTCAGGATGTTACTACAGATGCAGTGAAACTGCAGTCTTAATAACAACAGTTAACTAGAACTGCATGAACATACACTACAGAAACATGTATATAACCAAAATAATAACAAAAACAAAAGCATGGTTCTGGATCAGAAGAATAAATTGTAAAGGAATCAGCCAGAACATCACAAAATGGCACCCAGTGTTCTTCATATGTATCATGCTATGTTAGAATTTGCATTTTTGTGCAATGTAGGGGCCAGTGCCCATTTCCTAGCAGATAGGCAGTTACTAGCAGTGATACGAAGCAACCAAGTCTACTGTGGGTCTCCAGAAGCATGGTGCTTCGGGGTCTGGCTGTTAAGGATCCATGCAGGCATCCAGCAGGGGTTTTGGAGAGGAGTGAAGTAATGAATGAAAGGTGTAAAGTTGCAAAGTGTTAAAAATACTGGCTTGGAGTCTCATTTGCTTGCAAAGGAATGGGTTTTGGATTACACACTTTTGTTTCCCCTTTTAGTAACCAGATCATATTTCTCTTAATTGAGAATCCTTGTTCTGAATCCTGCAGGCCACGAAGTATGCATGCTAAATCTCATATTCTTCATCTCTTTCCTTCAGGAAGGGAGGAAAAAGAAACACCTGTAACAGCTGATAAACTGGGCAGTGCTTTAGGCCCTGACTGGCATGAGGGTCTAAGTCTTAAAGGGACTAAAGAGGTATGGTCATAATCTTACTTACACATTTGTTTAAATGTTGCTTTAAGCGGGGATGGATGACAGAACGTGCAATTTCACATTCAGGATTATTAGAAAAATAAAATGTGCTTGAACTGATTCTCCTGTTCCATCAGGATTAAACAGGGAAGTGTGCTTATACAGATGAAGTAATATTCTGCTTCAGGCTGATGGGCTCCACTGGCATGTTTTTAGCTATTTGCTCATCAGATTGAAACATAAATGTTGGCTTGTAGGTTTCTGCAGGACTGGTGTCAATCTTCACTTTAACCAGCAGCAGTGGGGCCTCTCTTGTCATTTTAGCTACCATACGTACGGGAGGATTTGTACAGAGGTACGGGGAACTGTCACAGCAGATAATGCAGTGCAAAATCAGTAGTGGGGATGAACATTGTGAAGAGTAAAAATCCTCACCTTTTTTTTTTGGTCAGTTTTGTATTTATTAATTTCTTAGCTGTTTGCATCTGTTATACACATTAAAAAAACAGACCTTTCAAACAGTCCTAGATTCTACAGAAATAGCTTTACAATGCCAGCTGAAGGATGTTTAGGATATTCAGCAGATTAATCAGTGGTGTTTTGGCTGTTGAAGGCCATGGAAACATGTTTGCATAGTGAAGAATAAAACCATTCAAGGCCAGAATCCACAAAATAGTTCAGAGAAATGGGTAACTTTCTGAGTTTCTGTCTCAACCTCAGAATAGGAGTAAGTGGCTGAAACATGGGTCAATGGAACAAGATATATTTCCTTTTTCTTTTTACAGCATTTAGAATATAAACTTAATCAGTATTAAGTTTATGAAATATTATGAAATTATGAATTGAATTCATGACAGAAAAATGAAGGATTTGAAACCCTGAAAGATGGGAAAGATACATTTACCTTTTTCTGTTATGATAAGTTCTGAATTCTTTTCCTGTAAACTCAGGGGAAGTTGAGAATATTTTCTGGTGTGCCAGAAAAATCTGGGTTCTTGTGAAATTTCAAGGAACATGAGGTGTCTGCTGGAAATGCAGATAAATTGCCATTTGCTGTGGTTAGATCTGCGCCGAAAAAGGAACAAGTGTGGGAACTCAGCTAATGTGTTGTGCTTTATGATGGGGTATATGGTTTGATTTTTGGTTTGTTTGGATTTTTTTCCCAGTTTAGTAAAGTCGTTTTAGGTGAAGGTGCACTTGCTATTAAAAATATTGCTATTGCTGATCATGTTTGCAATTTTGTCCATCTTTCTTCAGTTTTCTCATAAAGTACATATTGAAATACTATGTGAAGTAAAGAAAATACACTTACAGCAAGAATTTCTACAACTGCAACAGACTTCTTTGGCTTTTCCTAAAGAAGAGAAGAATGTGGAACCAGATGAAGGTAGGTGCCAGTGCTGAGCAGAAGTAACGTGTTGAAGATAAAGCAGTGCTGGAGCATGTTTGAGCCTGTTTGCTGTTTTGGAGCAAATACGGATTTGGAAAATAAATCCTTTATTGTTTTAAATCAAGTGGAGCTCTAGCAATTTACAGTAGTTGAGAATCTGATTTATGGGCTACAGTTAAATTACAAGATGTTATGGGTGAGACTCTTTTACCACAAAGTCACCTAAATCCTGTATGCAGAGTAGTCCCACCTTGTAACAGTCCAATAAAATTACATTTTAATAGTGGAGGTAAAACAGAAGCAAAAAAGCCCCAACAGAACAACATTTAGTGTCAAAACTGAAGTAATTCTTCAAAGAAAACAGGAGAAAATATCAGTTATTTCATGAATTCTGTCTGTAATTCCACTGAATTGAAATTAGTATTTAAAATAATTTTTTAATAGCCAGTTACTTCTGGCATAAAATCTCTGACATTCTTTTTGCTTTTTAGGCTTTTCCTGTGCATCAGGAAACTTATGTATAGAAGAGTATTTGGCAGTTGCCAAATACTTCAGAGAACATCACAGGGGTCTGAAGAAGGGGCAAGTGACAGGACACAGTATTTTCCCTTTATTAATGAAGGCTTTGATTTAGGAAAATTCCAGATAAAGTTAATAGTAGGACTTGGAGCTAAACTCCAAAATCTCATGGGTTTTTCTAGTCCTGAGTGAAGGTCAGAAATGTTATAGGTAACCTCTAATTATATCTTTTTTCTTTTTAGTTTTCCCTACCCAATCAGTTAGATGTCTCAATAGATTTTTTTATTTCTTTTTCCTTTTTATTTCATCTGTTATTATAAGACATAATTAATAAAATAATGTCTGTTGGTTACGTTCTCAGGGCAAAACTTTCCCCTTTTTCAGTGCTGTGGCCTGTGTATGTGGAATTAACTAATGGAAAAATTTATGGATGCAATTTCATTGTCAGTGCAACTGGAGTTGTGCCAAATGTTACACCGTTTCTTGCTGGCAATAATGTAAGTACATGATTACTTCTGAAGTTCAGGTTGTTTTGGTCTTTTAAGTAAGGTGAACTACGCTTTTTTCATCTGGTTTATGCTTTTGTTCTGACACGGATTGCTACAGGTTTCCCGTGTACAGCATTTCAAAATAAGGCAGGTATGCTGATGCTGGAAATATAAAATGAACTTCATTTGTGGTCGTGGCTTATTATGTTGCTTCTCCTATCTCCTGATAGACAGTACACATACAATACACACTGTTAAGATTAAGCCTATGCAAAGAGGGAAAAACACTTGTATAATTGGTTAATGTGGCAAATATTTAGAATAATTTTTGTGTTAATTCTTCACCATTTTTTATCTTACAAGTCTTCACATTTTTCTCCTGGGAAGGAAGCATTTACTTTCAATATCCTTAATCTGGGATACAGAGCTATAAACATGCTTATTTCATTGAGGGAGGTCATGCTTTAAATCAACATCCTAACGTGGATGCTGATTGCGGAGTTCATAGCTGTCCTGTGAATTTTCAGGCCTTGTGATCATTTTGTTTCTATGGTGGGTGTCCGGCTTAACCCTGGCTGGCAGTGGGATGGGGAATAGAGTTGGAAGGAAAAGTTGGAGAAGTGAGAAAACTTCTGGCAAAAATACGAAATGTTACTCTCTACCTGTAACACATGTAGTAGGGTTGGAGATTTGACAAACTGTTACTTCCCTGCCCAGGGCATCAGTAATAATGTTTTAAAACCCGTGCTGTGTTCTAGAAATAACGCTTAATGCTTTGTATCTTATCATGGATGTCTTACCACTGTGCATAGTTTCATGTTAAACAGTTTTATTCAGTATGTAATGCTTTTCTAAGCTTTGTTTTCATACATAGTTAGAGAGATTTTAAAGGCTATTTGAAAATCACTTGTAAAATGGAACACTGATCTACTTTTCAACTTGGTGAGAAAAGAATGCAGAGATTGCTGGGAAATTCTGCTTTTGTAGGCCAATTTTCTCTTTGCTTATTTGAAGGGTTCTTGATTTGATACGATTCAGGAAAAGCTCTGCAGAGGGCAGGGTTGCATTTCCATGTGGAGAAGTAATACTTGATATGTAGGCAGTTGTGAAACATACTCCACTGTGGCACTCACTCTTCAGGGGATCCATTTTCTTCCCTTGATGGTGAAGGAGCCTTGAGATGGAGAGGTTTGAACCACGTGTTTCTCTTGTGGTGTCAGGCTTTCCTTACAGAGTCAGATTAGACATAAGTAGCCATAAATTGTTTACTCTCAATGACCTTTCTCTCTGTTGCTACATGGCACCCAGAAGAGCACTTTGCTGGCTTCCCATAGTGTTTATTCATATCATTTTAGACCTCCAAATGTTTTGATTAAACAGAATAGTGAATTTACTGAATTTTTTTAGGAGTATGCCGTTAAAAAGTAACAAACGAGATGGCTGCTTAACACAGATGAAGTTGAATGACTTTGTTTAAATGATTGTTTTTGTTACTGCTGAGTTGTGTGAATGCTTTAGTTTGCTCTAGGTGAAGATGGAGGTCTTAAGGTGGATAAGCACATGCATACATCCCTACCAGACATATATGCAGCTGGAGATATCTGCACAGCGTCCTGGGAACCAAGTCCAGTGTGGCATCAGGTAAATCAAATCATATGAGTGCGCTCAGCAGCAGTCTAATTGCAAAGTAAATTACACAGATGAGAGAAAAGAAAGTTTAATTGAAATGGAAACCAGTGAATAAGTAGATAATCCCGGTGCGTTGGTGACACATGGTTTTTTCTAGGTGGCTGGAAGCAAAGCTGTTCAGCCTTGCTGGGTGTAATAAATCCATAGTATGCATTGGTGAGAACAGCGAGTGTCGGTCACTGCACAGAAACATTCTTAAATGTCTTCTTAAATCTTTACATGTATTTTTCTTTGGTTTTAGATGAGGCTGTGGACTCAAGCCAGGCAGATGGGATGGTACGCAGCCAAATGCATAGCAGCAGATGCATTAGGGGAATCAATCGATCTGGATTTCAGCTTTGAACTATTTGCTCATGTTACAAAATTTTTCAATTACAAGGTAAGTAAATGCAGTCTGATAGCCTTCAACCACTGAGTAACACACATTGCTTGCTTATCTTCACTTGCTGACACTGAGCAGATGCTTTAATATTGACAAAACAGTCTTCTCTCTGTAATAATTAATCTTAGTTTAGATTTTCTCCATTCATGCTAACTTTGAATGCTGAAACTGAAGAGGGCAATGATCTCTACGAATGTGTTACAACTTCCAGTTGGTGACTGACAACTGCTCCACCCTGCATCTCTGCGCATACATTCCATTTCACTAGATTTCTGTCCTTGGATAACGTCACCCAGAGTTCAGCATGGTAGCTGGTTCGTTACTGGGTTCTGCGTGTGATAGTTCAAGGTGAAGATTTTTAACCTGTGAACGGGGGAGGTTCCCCCAAGACAAATATTTCCCTGTTTGCATCAGTCTTTCAAAGCTTAGAACTGTTCTGGCAGAAGTACTAAAAGCCACCGCAATGCCCTTCTGAGTGCTTTCTCTTTTTCCTTCTGCTAGGTGGTGGTATTGGGAAAGTACAATGCTCAAGGCTTGGGTTTAGACCATGAACTAATGCTGAGGTGTACCAAGGGACAGGAGTACGTGAAAGTAGTGATGCAGAGCGGCCGAATGGTGGGAGCTGTGCTGATCGGTGACACGGACTTGGAAGAAACCTTTGAAAACTTAATTTTAAATCAAATGGATCTTTCAGCCTATGGTGAAGATCTTCTGAATCCAGATATTGATATAGAAGATTATTTTGATTGAACAAAACCCCATTTCCATTTTGTATAAAGTTTTGACACTGAGTAATATGTCTTATATAATTGTTTCCTCAGGATTACCAGAAACGTACCAGGGATAAATGCAGTTCCTTAGTAAGATTTTGTATTGATCTTGTCAAAATACTGACTGGCAAATTTAATTAATCTGTGTCAAAATGCAGCAACAAAAGCAAGCGAATTAGTGTTGGCAAAGAAATTTCATCTGGCTTAGATGAGTGTATGAAAACAAGGCTGTGACAGTCTTTTAACAAGTGGGCTTCACTGTGCTGTTAAGGTGGTACCATATTCATTTGAATGCAGGGTAGCTTTCATTTTTAGAACTAAATGGAATGTGTTAAATCCCACGGTGCCTCGTAGCTCTCTTCTTCCCCAGACCAGGCAAGGCTCACCTGCCGTGGTTACCAGAGCCCAGTTTCCCCATGGTTCACCACCAGCCGCGTTCCTCATCTCAACCAGCCAGGATGCCGTGATGTGATATGATGGTGCTGCCTGACCCACCCACAGCTCCCTCCAGCGTGTCTAGGGCAAAAAATCCTGCTTCCTAAAGCCACCTGCTCAGGCGAACATTTACAAGGCAGCCGCACAGCACATTGCCATCCCACTGGCGCCCTCCGCCGCTGAGACCTGTGCGTACTTGCCATGGGTTTCGAGGCTCCTGGTTCCAGCTAATCTCTCTCAACTGGTTCAGATAAACAGGACATCTGTAGGGCACAGAGCGCTTGGAGGTCTTACTGCCTGGGATGTACTTGGCAGAGATGCAGCAAGATGGACGCTTTATCGTCTACACTTCTCCCCCACCCCAAGTTTCTGAAATGTATTTTCTACTCAGCTAAGTACAGGACGCAAAAACTGAACGCTGAAGCCAGGATGAGCTGTCAGTTGAGAGCAGCTCTTCTACTGCTTGTCACTTCAGCTGCTGAGGAATCATGGTAGAGCTGCCCTGGCGCATCCAGTGTAATCTCCAACAGGATCCATGTGCACTGTGCTCCAGGGAGAGGCTAACACAACAGCACTGCTGGACATGACCTGCAGCAGTGTTCCCTGTCACAGCAGCCTGCTCCACAAGCTGGTGGATCCAGCTGATGTGGTAGATGGTACCAGTGCCATTTTGAATGCGAGTCCTGTATCCGACAGGATTCTTAGTAGACAGCTATTGCAGTCACTTTACAAAACCATTCATAGGGACTTGCGTGTCTTGGCTGCTGCCTGCTCCCATTTCCCACTGTTAACACTGCTTGGCTCCAGGAGGGAATTTCTGCAGGTACTAAACTCCAAATTGACTTTTAACTAGGGACAGAGTATCTACTATTAAATTCCCAATGGGGGTTTAAGATGTTTGTTTTCAATCAAAGGTATAGGCTTGCTTCAAGTTCCTTCTTTAGTTGCTAGGCATAATTTAGTGCCTAGGTTAGAAAGCTCAACAATTCAAGCTGTTCATTAAAGTCATCTCTGCATTCCACAGGCCATCTATGGGCACAGGTTGTTTCAGACTGGCTTTTGGGTTTGTTCTACAACTGCTACTTGGGTGTTGCTGTTTGTTTAGGGTCAAACTGGGAATAATTTGTTGTACTCCACTAAATGCAAAATTGACAGTACATATTGAGACTTCTCCCAGAAAATCATGCTATTTTTTTTAAGAGAATGACTGTTTAAATGAATTAATCCTGCTGTTGGCAAAGGTTTGAGGTAAACAATGGGTGAAATTATAAGCTTTAGTCACTGATGAGATTCTACCAGAAAAATAAAGATTAAAAGCATGTTATTAATCATTGTTGTTTTAAGTTCATATATTTAAGTTCATATACATCTGCATGTCTGGGGTTTGGGGGGCAGATCCAAAATAAAATCCACCAGAACTTCAGTTTATAATGAGTTTGAACTTGCCTTGCTGATCATGGGCTGCTAAGATCCTCAAAAAAAAGCAAAAACTCAAATCTGGCATTCAACCTCTTGTGGTCCCAAGCACTGCTTGAGGTCAGCAGCAGCTGGTGGGTCCTTCCCACTCTGGCAGCACAGTTACTTGTTTCTGAAAACACTGGTGTTCATCAAAGGAAGGTGACAGGTACATATTCCTACTGCTGAAATGGGAGGCAGACAAATCCTGTAGCTGAAGCTTTTCGTCTGTCCGTAGAGATGGCTGAGGAGAGGGAATGTGACTCTTGGTGTAGCCAGCGAGGTGCTGGTCCTGCATCACAGCTCGGGTTACACGTGTAAAGAAAGACGACTTCATGCCATTTGGTGCCAATTAGTTAATTACACAATGCAGAAGGCAGGACTGAGCAAATAAAACATTATGCGCTTTAAATAACCAATTTCAGAGGGTATTGGTTACGTAACTGTAAGTACTTCCTGACTGGGAAAAGTAGGAACGAAAAAAACCTTACCCTGAGCCCTCAACTGAAGCCTTTAACATATACTTGCCTGTTCTGAAAAGCACCAGCTGGTCTGAACTCTTCAAGCACTCCCTTGGGTTTGTTTCAGCATAAGTGTTTACAGTGAGAACAACCCATCATGGTGCAACCCCTGCAGGTAGAGCCCTCATTGTGGGAGGTTTTAAAGACACAAGGGATCAGGGTGCCAATAACCTGGTCTAGGTTTCCTTTCCCACAGGTTGAGCAGATGTTTCAAGGCCCCTTCCTCCCAGGGCTGTTCTGTGACATTGTGTTGTCCAAACATGGAAGAGTGCAAAGCCGCCACCCGGTTTGCTCCTTGTTTGGGGAAGAGTATTGCTTCCCTCAAGTTTACCTACTGTATGGCAACGAGTCTTCTGTTATTGTGAATGTCATCAGTAAAAGTAAATATGAAGATGGCAGTAGTGTTCTAGGAACTCCCCTGGTTACTGAATTTATCTCAATTCATAACTCAGATTTGACAGTCCTGAAATTTGGGGCTCAATAGCCATCATCTTCACTTCTGGTTTGGAAGAAATTAGGCAGGAAATACAGGACCCTGAGGGCAAGGAAAGACCACTCACTCTCATTTGTAACTTCCATGTGGTTCAAAGATTGGTTTTAATAAATAGCGTAATTCTGACATCTGCATTGCTGGGATCAAGCACTGAGCATGAACAAAACCAAAGCCCAGCCCTTGGCTGTGACTTAGAAGCTGAACATGGGGACTAAGCTGCCCTTCAGGCCTTTTCTCCAGTCCAGCTGTTCCTGCTCCCAGCACTGACAAACCCAAGTGGAACCAAGAGCACCATGTTTCCCCTCAGCAGCAAAAGCCCTGACTGGTCACCTACCCCTAGGATGGCGGTAGCAGCTCCTGCGTCCAAGCTCATCAAGGTAATGGCTCAAGCACTATTTTAATCGTCTATCCCTTCACACCTAGTACACTAAGGTCTTCCCAAGTTCAGTCTCAGATCCTGACAGCATTCAACTTCAAACACCATTTTTCTGCCTTTCTAGGAGAAAAAGAAAAAAGAAAAAGGGAAAAAAAAAAAAA